CTTCAGATAGTTCACCAAGTCGACCACTTCAGCACGCGACATGGCAGAGCTGATGGTCTGGTAGGCTTCATAGAGAATCCAGAGAGGGAAGACGACCCAGAGACCGTTGAAGAATGTAAGATAGAGCCAACTGAGTTACTCGTCAGTTTTGGAGTTCTTGGAGCCAGCGAACTATCCAAGAGTGAAACTGTTGATATCTTAAAGCGACATGTGTTGAGTTCAAGATGGAGACGGTGGTACGTTGCGTCGACTTGTGTCGCGCTGTGTATCGAGGGATAGAAGGGCCATTGTGGGCCAGTCGGCCAGCATCCAGCGATTATGCAGGGCCAACACATCACGTTTGGATGTCAGAAGTTCTGGACAAGACGTTGCTGTTTGGCGTCGACGCAAGGTACATGTCCAACGACATCCGGGGTGCCGGCTATCCAACCGGGGCTTGGCGTGGACCGTTTACCCATCGAAACGCAGACATGCAAGAAAGCGATGTTGGCCAGGAACAGGGCATGGGAAAAAAAGGGGAAAATGCACTTACAGGTACATCCAGTTGCTGGTATCGAGATTGGGACTTCCCGTCAGCCACTCAGGTGCGAATGTCATCCAGCCTAGTGGAGCGGTGAACCACGTGTCAGCCTCATACTCGCAACAACGCAGTGTCGTCTCGCCTCAACAATTGCTCGGGCCGGGCCCACATGTCGCTTCACCAATAGTGATGACAGCGGCGAGTTTCACATGTTACACGTCCACCGCAACAAAAAACGGATTGATGTTTGTTGTAGACTTACCTCCATATATTTCTGCCGTGGCTAGAACTATCATCCAGAAATACTTTTTCAGCACACCTTTCTTTTCATCCTTGGAGAGGAGATAGCAAATCCAACACGCTAATGGGCCAGCCACGAACACCGTCAGAATCTCGAGCGTGACCACGGTCAGATCGGTACCACCCCATCGCTTGTCCGCCTTCGCATACTCCTGCCACAGTCGACTGAACGGACCGGTTCCATAGTTTGCGCCGTAGAGCAAATCCTCCCGACCGAGCCAGTACACATCCGGAGGGGTGAAGAAGGTGATTTGTGGGTGATGGCGCGATGCGGACGAGAAGGAAGTCGGTAGCGAATATGTGACAAAGAAACAATTCCAGAGGAAGGAGCCTTCAAAGACAAAGTGGATCAGGGCGTCGAACAGGTGCCAGATGAACAGAACGCGCGTCTTTTTGGTCGTGGCCTTGGGCAAGACTTTGATGGATGCTGCATATGCGCCGCCGAGAAGCGCCAGGACGGCCAGCAGCGACACGACAGTTGTTGCGTCGATTTCCGGGCCGGAGCGAGGGACAGGTGGCGGGGGAGGCGGAGGCGGAGCCTTCTTTCTACCAAAGAAGGACATTGTGACACATAAATGGCAGAGGCAAGGTCACGATGGTGGCTCGGGTAGGAATGGGCCGAAGAATGCTGTGAAGTGTTTGCGCTTGGGCGAGATGAAGTTGGGAGGACGACTCAGGGCCCAATCGTGAAATCGCACAGAGGACTAGTTGGCCAGAAAGCGGCAGGCGGTCAGCGCCTGACGGGCATTACCTCCGTGGCAGAACGTCTAGCGAACAGTCACATGGCCTGGCAGGCCCACGATCCAGGCCCAATGGCCTTATGTTCGGCCGTAGTAATGCTCACGGGGTACATACAAAGTGGGGGCATCGTGAGATTCGGGTAAGTTTTTATGCCATGTCTTTTGCATTTGCTAACTGCTATATAGGGCCGAGTGTCCCGCTTCCTCCCACGGCCGAGCGACAACCCTCAAAACCATCCACACGCAATCGGAACACAGCCAACCCAAAAACACACACACACACACACACACACACGCACACAATCTCAACCGACGCAATTTGATACTTCTTACAACAACCAACTCGCACTTTGTCTGTCCTAGTGCCTATATACGAGCATCCGAATCGACGAACTCTGGGGATAGCAAAGAGAGGAAACACGCTTCAAATGCAAATCAAAACCAAGCTTTTGCGAATCACAGATCAGAAACGACCGTCAACAAACGCCGGAGACCAGAGTGGAATCGCTCATGGAGCATCGCAGTCCGCTCGACAGTCGAAGAGAGGAAAAAAAATGACCCAATGACAAGCATACCCAAGGAACACCATGATGAAACCCAGTTTGCGCCCATGAAAAGAAGAAAGAGATGCAGGAAAGACCAATGTGGAAATGCAGCAAACAGGCCGGCCGAATGATGCTACAAGGGCGACGTCCTGAGGAGGACGACGCAAAAAAGGCAATGGCTGGCCCACTGCAACGTTTCGTACCGTGATGAAGAAGATTCGTGAGCGCTCTGCACCTGGAGGACCAGGAACGTCCGCTCCACTTGGCCAATCATTCTGGTCGTAAGCGTACTTCGTGTCCAAGGAGATTCGTTAAACGGAAAAAAGCATCCGTGATTCAGGTAAGATGGTGAGTTTTTGTTTTGTTTTTAGACACAAGCCTGAGGTGTGTGGCTGCGTTCGGTAAAGACGCCACCTGGCATCGTGTAGCCATACTCATACGAGGAGGCGTAACGGTCTTCAGGTGCATAGCCGGTGACAGGACCGGGAGAAGCTGAGCGAGATAGGAATGAGACAGAGTCACTGGTACCATCTGCCATGACGGGCATGGCAGGGGACGCAGGACTGCTGGTAGCCGACGACTGGTTGCTTCCAGAACTGTTGTTCATGTAGTCAAGAGCTCCATCACCTTGCGTAGGCTTGACAGCTGGCGTGGTGACATTGGGAGAGGTTTTCCCAGTCGGGGTGCCAAACTGGATGCGAGTCAGTCTCCGTCTAGGCCAATCGATCAGGGTGCTGAGATGGAGGTTGGGAACGTACAAAGCAGAATTTTTGGATCAACTCGTTGTACTCTGCAGACTGAAGATCGGGCTTCTCCAAAGTCAGTGAGTCTGGACGGGCGCCGGGAATAGGAGCCCTGGTAGTGTGAGACTGAGCCGTAGGAATTGAACGATCAAAGTAGCCTTTGTTCATCTTGTCCTTGTCCAACTTCAGTCCACTGCGGTCACCAAGTGCGGTTTGAGCGTTGGACAGAGCAGCAGTGAGAGATGCACCAAAGTCATAGCGAGAGGCGAAAGCCTGGCTGACCTGCGAAGGTGGAGCCTGGCTCTGGGGGACGGTACGCTTGCTCTTGGGCTTCAGCTTGATGACCGAGCTAGGTGAGTCGCCGATCATGGCACGTCCGCTACCAAACTGGAACTTGGTCTCGAACTCGTGGCCAAAATCGTCGTCAAACGAAGCAGCGGGCATTGAGCGTGGGCGGGGAGCAAGAGGTGAGTGCCTGCTACGGGGGACAGCACCCAGGCTAGCGGTGGGACGCTTGTGTCCCCGTTGCTTAGCCTTCTTGGTGAAGTCAACCTGGTAGTTCATGGCATTGTTGTTGTCCCAGTACTCTTGGCCATTGACCTGGTAACGAACGCACAACAACAGAGTCTTGGACTCGAGGTTAGCTTGGTCAGCCAACTTGATGTTGAAGTTGAAGCGGTCGTAGCCATCTTCCTTTTGCTTCTTGCGGACGTCGTGGTTGAACTCAGCAACTACCTCTGATGTAGTCTTCCAGTAGTCGAGCGTGAAGCGAGCCACGACGAGCTTGTGGAAGGACAAGTTGGCAACGGCAATGTTGCCAACCAGAGTCTGGTGATCAGAAGCAAGGAAGATGCGCTCAACTCGGACTGGAGAAGTCTGTCGCTCGTAGCTGTTCGACGAGGGGAAGTTTGCAAGCTTGATGTCCCACTCAGGTGTCTTGGACCGTGAGTTGTCCGCGAAGGGATACTCACTCTCACTGTCATAGGTCTCGACAGGGGACGAGCCTGCACTGACAGCGATGGGTCGGTCGACCTGGAGGAAGTGGCGTACTTGCTCAATCTCCTCGTTGAAGTGCACCGCCTTGGAGTAGGTAGGGGTGCCGGGCATGCTGGATGGGCGACGCCTGGAAGGAGGACGAAGAGCTGGCTTGACAAGCTCACCAGACTTCTTGCGTAGTAGCGGGGGCTTTATCCGGAGCTCATCATCCTCGGCATCACTAGCATCAGACGAGCTAATGATGGTTTCTGTGTTGATGGGGTGCATCATGTGTTGAGAGAGCATGATCTCGCTCGACGAGCGAGAGTGTGCAATCTTGCGTGCCTCGGCTGAGAGAGAGCGTGCCAGTGTGACGGGGGGCTGTGGCTTGGAGTCCTTGACCCTCTCGGTGACCTCTGCGGAAGGAGATGACTGTCTCTTCTGGTCGATGCCTTGGAGAGCCTGTTGCAACTCACGCAGGTCTCCTACACGGCGTCCACGTTCTTCATCATCCGAGGAATCAGGAGGCGTGGTAATCGCACCTGACGGAATCAGAAGATCGTTCACAGGAGGAGGAGACGGGCGTAGGCTACCGTTTGTAGATGGGCCATGCTGGGTGGCGTCGGACTTGATGTCGGTGCTCGTGTTGGGAGACAGGCCATTTGCAACAGTGTTCTCTATTGTGACGGACGTTGACGATCGTCGTGACTTTGCGAGGTACGAGGTTGACGAGACGGAGCGTGGTAGTGATGGGCGACGGGCGGTCACCGGCGAGTGGGGTGGCTGATCGACATAGGAGTGATTCCGGCTTAGTGTGGGACTGCTAGTCTTGGAGGTTGCCGGAGACCGCTGTGAAGGAGGTGTGTAAGGCATTCGGTCGGCTTCGTGGGGTGCTGAGAAGCAGGTCGAACGGGTAGATTGAGAAGACAATCAAAGCGTAGGGAGCATTAAAAGAATTATCGTAGCGAAAAGTCTAGAAATGCAGGCGTAAGCGAGTGAACGGACCCCAGACAAACCAGGAAAGTTCAGCAGGCACAAAGCCGTGGGACGGCTGAGCGATGATGATGATGACACCGGAGAGTTGTTTTTGTGGGGGTCGACTTACAGAAGTAGGTCGAGGAAGGGGTTGGAAAGCTGGTTCGTGGGGGGTCACGGACAGGCAGGGTCGCGACGAAGAATGTCACAGCTAGTGAAAGCTGCGATGACGTCGGGAATGGCGGAAGCAGTCGGTGTGCTCAAAGCGAGACGCACGATGCAAAGTGAAGCTGTTGATGAAGCAACAGGATGCAGCGTCGTGGTGGACGGGATGCTCCGGTGCAGGCAGACGGACCACGGCGTGATATGGGCGTGGGGAGGGAAGGTACCGTGGGGCGAGACGACGGTTGGTGGAGGAGGAGGCCGCAGGGTCGAGTGTCAAACCAAGTTGGACTCGATGGTGTGCAGTCGTGGTATTAAAGGGTCTGCGGCGGCAATGGACCCAGCAAGTGTTGAAGAGGAGGAGGGATGGGGGAGAGTGTTGAGGGCGGTAGCGCAGAAGAACGTGCAGGGCGGCGACTATTGGGGAGTGGTTGGATTCGGGTGGTGAGAAGCGATTCTAGCCCGGCGCTGAAGGAGCAGGGGGGGTGGGCAGGGACAAGGGAGCAAGAGTTAGCGCGCCGCTCAACAAGCCGGGGGGGCCAGCACCAAGGATTTTCGCACGCAGCCAAGCGGCAGCGTCCGGTTCTGACTACTGCTGCGAGAAGACGACGACGACTACGGCGGGAGGGGGGGCGAGGGGAGGCTGCTAGTGCGAGGGCAGTGAAGCCGACGGCGGAGGGCGAAACACGAGGTACGATGAGGTACAAGAATGTATCGGGCTGTTGGCTACCTGGTGCTCCTTGCTGCTTGCTGCTCGTTACTCGCTGCTCGCACCACCACCACCCAGCAGCGGTCATCGGCGAGCGGCCAGCGGTGCAGCCAACCCACCCCAAGATGCCGCCAGCGCCGGCTCTAGTACCAAATGCTATCTTGTTTATCTCCCGACGTCAAGCGAAGGGCGAGCTGGCCTCGCTGGCACGGCCACTCTTGGAAACGGTGCAGGCAGGCAGGCCGTGTTGGGGGGTCTTGTTTGTGGTCCCGTACACATAATAAATTACTGTGACCATGGTGGGCGGGCGTGGCTCTGGTCCAGCACACACGTACATACAGCCAGACATGGTTTGCTACTGACTACATGCAGATGGAGATGCTCCTGCTGTCGGCCTGTTGACTGAGGCCCGTCGAGGCCCCGGCCGCTATCAGCATGAGTGGCCCGACAGCAGGGCCGGGGCGTGAGCATGAGCATGGTCGTGGTCGTGGGGGCGGCGAGGCCTGGCTGGCTAGCGACCAAGAGTCAGGCTGTGGTCAAACAGCGACCGTTCGCAATCTGCCACTCAGCCGTTGGGGACGGTGGACGGTGCTCTCGTCTCAGAAGCAACAACCGAGCAGCGAGTGTCCCTCGTTGCGTGCGTGCACGCCCCCTCGTTCTCAAGCGAGACCCAGCTCTGTCTAGACGTGATGTCATTGTTTTTTTTGTTCCGCCGTTTTTCTTCGTGCCCTTGAACGGCGCGTGGGTCTGCATTGCTGCATCCTTCTTCACCAACTGACCGCGACCACGAAGACGACTTTGAACACGTCCATGGTTGTTGTCCGACACGTATCAGTGGAGCCGTGGCGGTGCCTGGATGATCGGAGGGGGCATGGGAGCCGCCCTCGCAATTCGCCCGCCCGCGCGTGAAAAATATCCCTTTCCCCCCCTCCCCCTCTGCGACGCTCAGCACGCAGGCAGACAGGCAGGCAGGCAGGCAGGCGTGAGGATCGCCGGTGCCGCTTGCCGCCTGCAAAAAAGGCGGTCGGCCTGCAGCCAATCAGCGCCCGCCCCAGCAAGGGACGGCCTGGCATGCCATCCCAGGCGCAGTTCCTCAACCCCTGCGCCTGATATCTCGTCTGCGTCCTGGCCAGCTGGTGCTTGTGCTCGTGCAATGCTCGTTTCCCCCGATGTGTGTGTGTGCGTGCAATGTGCCCACAGTGCTGTTGCTATCATTACACTGCCCGCCCGCCTTGACCGTCTGATGCTCCATGGGGCCGTCCCACAACCTTGCCTTGCCCCCTTCCTCCAAGCCTGCCATGTCATAGGGCAAAGAGCCTCTTCTCGGCGTCGTGCTTGCGGGGATCAAACAATGCGTCTCCGCGCACCGCAAACCCTATAGCAGCCTATCCACTTGCTGGAAGCCTGGGTCGCAGAGGACAGCATGCTGCCAGCCTCATGCCATTGGCCGTGCCCGGCACCGACACACCAACACTTCACCCTTCACAGCTTCCCCGCATTTTGCCCTCTAGCCTGGCCATAGCCGTGTGCGTGCATGCTGCTACGTATGTATGTAGTATCTATCTACGACACACATGGCCTGCGAATACACTGCCCTGCTGCCCTGCTGCCCTGTCGTGGCCGAGCTAATCTCCTGCCATAGCCCTCGGCCAGCCCTCGTTGCTGTGCCCGCATCCCTCGTCCCACGGTTCCTTGATTATTACGCGCGCCTATGTACGCGTCTCCGTGGAAGCTGCCCACGGACGCTCTGCCACAACGTGCGGCTCGCTCGGAGGCCGACGCTTCCACTGGCCAGGCCAAAAAAACTTGCTTTCTTTTCCAAGACGCTTCGATGCACCTGGCTGCGTGTTGGTGTCTGAATCGCGCTTCGCTCGCTAGAGCACTCTACCTCTGCCACTTTCTGTCTTCACCACTCTGCATTTAGAAGCTATCGCCACGTGCACATGCTATATGTATGTAGTATGTACTCATGTGGGTGTGTGTATGTGTATGTGTGTGTGTACACCGGTGTGCCTGTGTGTCTACTGCCACAAGACGCACAACAGTCAGCAGAGCACATCGCTTCGTGAGCCGCACCCTGCTCGGGCCTGCCTGCATCGAAAAGAAACAATCCGATGCCTCTGGCGAGGTCATTCGCATGAAAATACTCCCATTGAGCGGCACACTGAAACCACACCCTCGCTCCTGTCGCGACGTCTGGATTGTGGCCAGACCACCGCCCGCTTATCACGCTAGCCCCCATCATACCCAGCGCCCCAGCACGCTCCACATGGCGTCATGTCATGTCCCACTGCTGGATTTTGCCCGGCAGAAAATCAAACGCGCCCCTCCATCCAGTTGCCATGGAGCTGCCGACCCCATCACCGCCCGACCAGGGCACGGACGTGTTATCATCGATGTCCTACACTTTATCGATCCCCACCCGTTTGCTTGGCTGAGCTATGGCCAGATCCGCATGCCGCTAGTCCCTTTCCCCTCATCCTCCGACCCATCACGATCGCGACGACACATTCGCCATCGCGATGGGCAAATCATTCGGTGCGACTCACAGGGTATCACATTGACCAGATTGCGATGTACTCATTATAAACACGGTCCTTTTGTTGCAGAATGCCTGCTTTCTGCCTTCGCTTCTTCTCCACCGGCGGAGACAACAACACCAGATTGCCAACTAGTCTGCCTCTCCAATACACACCGTTCCGGAAGGATGCGCATCCGCCGCCCATGCCTAGAACCCGTCATCGTCCAAGCAAGATTGCAGTCTCGCCGTCACGCTGATCACATGGCGCCGCCGTTGTTCGCAGTGACGACCTTGTTCCGTTGTCAGGCAACCTGTCAGCCAATTCCTCAGTCCATGGCGTGCTCGAAAAAAATTGCTCCTCGACCGCCCACAATCATATATTGCGAGCGACGAGTCGCACGACACGCATTCTATTGCCATGCATATCCACGCTCGGCTCGACTTCCCGTTGTTTCACGCAATCTCGCACCATTCTCCTTTGTCAAATGTGCAGTGGTTGCTGTCCAGAAGCAGCACACCAATTAAGCGCCAGTGCTCATTCATCGCAACGTCACGATGATTTTCGATGCCGGACATGACACGTACACGTAATACGAATCATGCCACGGGCCACCGAAGCTGGAATTGCATCCCCACGCCTACGGCATTCTTCTGGACATGTCGATTCGCCCAACAGGATCACGATAGGTGATGTCAATTCTGGCTTTTTTGTCCAATATAGTCACAAAGGAGAATCGAGGTATTCTCTTCTATCCGCACGTCCCGAACAGGCCTACCCTGCCCTGTCAACCACTGAAACACATGTGGTTCTTGCTGCAACATTATTTTAGAGCGCTCACCGCTATTCCACACCCCCGTTCCCGCGCTACCCCATATCACTAGTATCATAAACGCCTGGTTATGAGACTATTTGAACGTGAAAACCACTGCACGTGTGCATGGCCTTGATTGCTATGATGCCAGACCAAGCCGGTATTGTAGCATCATCTCATAAATGGCGGGCCGAAAAGGGTGCTTCCTCCCTCCCCAAGATAAGACTCGGGAAAGGGCCGATGAGGATCATGGTAGGCAACTTTGTTCGTACCTCATATTGCAGCGGGGAGACCAGCATCATCAATACGATGGTGTGGTGAGAATTAAGCAATATGACTGCACGCATGCATACTTACTACATACATTTCCAAACATCAACGGAACGGCTGCAATCCACTTTCCAACGCCATGGTTCGAGGCGAGGCTATATTAACAAATCTTGCGGGGGATTTGGTTCGGGTAGCTCCATGCCAGTGGCAGCACTGGGCAAGCCTCGCGCAAAACGGCAACTTGCTTAGCAGCGTGCCAATGACTGGCAGCCCGCGTAAGCTCCAACCTCAAGTCCATAATACTTTATTGGTCTGTGAAAGCGGACATTACGTGTGTGCCTGCGTTGGAACCAGCAGACGAGCTTCACTTGTCGACCTGTCCAATACTAATGCGGTATCTCTGCGGAGCAAGTCTCCAGACCACTCGCGACAGTTGTAGTCAAGAGAGAGAAGAGGATATGCAGGGCCTGCCACTCAATTCCTTATCTCAGCGTCCAGCAGTGTCTGACCTCCTTCCCCATATGGCTGGTCTACAGGGCTTCGAGAACCTGCGGACTAAGGAACCTGCACTCGCATATGAAGCAAACACCACGGAGTATTCGTTTCGTCCGTCGTATCTGATGACCACGCGCGTCTCCAGACAGTAGGTGTAAGCAGGTTGGGCGCAGGGAAGGCCTGACGAATGCACGACAAGCGATACGCATCATCTCATTGATCGATAACGGCTGTCCCGGCACTGTCGCGCTCCTCAGACGAAGCAGGTGAGAGATGGCTGCAGGCTTCCAATCTCACATGCCACAGATTACCCGCCCCCCCCCCCTTCACGCGTCTCTTGTGCATCCACTCGTTTCTTTTTTGTTGCTATCAACGTGAGCTACAGACGCGCAACACCATCTGTGCAGATTCCCCAAGTGTATTTCTCCGTCGGTCAATCTCTCTGACGTGCAGTCGTACCGTTGCAGATGACGCTGGTAAGATGGGCTTTGCACATCAATTTCCCAATCTAGGAGCATAGTTCGTCTGTCAATCGTTGCATGCACACAACGTGCGTGGGCGTAACGCCTGCAGCATCTATGCGCAGGCTTGTTCTCAACAAAAGCACCCCGCCCTCCACACTCTAAATCGGGCTGAATGGCTTATGCCCACTAATCAACACAACACAAGGGATGCCTTGTGGATACAAAGAGGGGTCTGCTGATTTCAGGAGAGGGTGTGCGTTTGAGATGGATGGTCGGAGATGGACCTACAGGTAATGGTGTAGTGCGGGGTATCTCTTGTCGGTGGTGCTAGACCACAGCGCCACACCGATATCCACACCGATATTCACACCGATCTGTGTGAGAAGCACATTATCATGAGAAGGCAAGGCTATGATAAAGACACGCTGTTGAACGTTGGTGTGTGCCTGCTTGGCATGTATTGTAAGGCGTTGTACAACTCGAGACTGCCATAGCCAGCCTCTCACCTTCGTTTCCGGACGCCACTCATCAACGGTGAGAGCGCCTTCCCGAGTCTCGCCATTGCTTTTCCCCAGTACTGCAGTACACTGGATACACAAGTGCCGATACGGGTACTGTGTTTATGCGAGCGAACATCCCCCATACCGAAACCCTGAGCCGAACAGTTGCATGCATCTTGCCCTTCACCCAGCTGTGGCGTGTGCAGCGGGAGGATTGTCCCAACGAACCAGGGCTTTGCGGCATCCTAACCAAGCCGAGTGCCGCGTTCAGCACATCAGATACCAGGGCGGAAGCTTTTGCTCCTTCCAGGAACAGGACACAGGAGTTGATGTCGTGGGAGGAGGGTGAGCTTGCCATGATTGCAGGATTGTGTATACTACATATGTAAGCCGCTGTATGTAAGCGTAGTGTGCTTAGAGTATGTAGAGGCGTGCTATCAAAAAAGCAGATGCCCCACAAATAATACGGGGTGGCCACTGCGTAGAGAGGAGCCTAGACGCAGGGAGCGAGGAGGGTGGGCAGAATTCTTGTCGCACTAGACCACATTAGCATTAGCGTTTAAGACTTTGCTGCTGTATTCTTAGCACAAGCCAATCTCCTCTGTCTACGTCCATTTTCTCCATGGCACGACTACTGCAGTCAGTCAACACTGCCGACGACGAACAGAATCAAATACACAATATGGAAGCCACTTGACTAATAGCAACGTCCAACTGCGACCTTTCAGGCATATTTCCGAGGATGCCGTGTTGCCAATACCACCGTTGTAGAGCCGCAATCACAGTAGCTTACGGTGCCAATAGAGCGGCGAATTCCCAACAACTAGCCAACCAGCCAACCCAATCCGTCTTCTCCACCATCGATACGCTTTGATCCTTGACTGGCATCAGCCACAAACTGTATCGAGTGTAGCATCAGCGTTTACACAGGGTCCACGGAGCCTCATCCAAGCAGTCTTCGTGGTCCTTGTGGACATGACTCCGAGATACGCCAGCAGCCCGAGTCGCAACGCCGTGTTAGGGGATTGCTTGCAGCATAAACCAAGAGACGGGTGAGCTTGTCTACCGGGCCGCTTGGACACAGCTGCAGGAGATAGGCGACGACATTATGGAATTTAAAATGAGTTTGGCGGTACGCAAGGCTGGGTGAACTATCACGGTTGCGTACATACTTGTGTAGATCCCGTGTTGGACTGCATGTCTGGGGTAAATCAGCATGCAGATGACAGGACGGGCTGCTGTCGATGCTGTCACTCAACATTCAACATTATCTCCCCCACGGCCATTTCTATGTAATAATACATTAGACAGCAACCTCTTTTTCTCTTCACTATCAGCCCTCGAGTACGGTCCGAATACGGTAGGAATTATCGACTTAGCATTGAGCGCCGGTAGCTCTCGAACCGCGGTATCCCGATCAACGGACCCTGCGGCTAATTCTAACTCCGAGAAAGTCGACAGGGTCTTCCAGGGTCCAGAATGGGAGGAGGGTGTGGGATGCAATCCCTAGAGACAAGGCTGGCGACTATAGCCTCACAAAAGTTCCCAACATGCGCCGAACATCTCAGCAACATGTTGAAATCGAGATGGTGGTGTGTAGTCGTCGGTCGTCTCCGATATGGTAGTCGACCCACCCTGAAACCATCAACAAAACCCTTGATCCATGACCATACAAGCCGTTCTCCATGTCTCTCCACACGCCTCGCCAAACCCGCCCCAACATAAACTTTTTCGAAACCGCTGCACTCCAGGTCCCCACTTCTTTTTGTTTTTGGCTGCGCGCCCTCGTCAGATACATACTGCATTGAGCAAACAACACACCGGTTGTCAATGCACGGCGCGCATCCACGCACGACGGCGGCGGCGGCCCCGCACGGTCCAAATTCACTAACTCTAACACCATCAGCAAACTCGAACTGTTGAGAGTGGGGCCTTTGCACTCCCCTCCTCCTCATCACTTCCCTTTGTCTTCAGCCATAAACTTGCCTCTTTCGCCCAACCAACCCTAATCCGCCCCATGGCCTTGGTCCCGTGCTACCTCTCCATTTTTTTCCCTTCAGCTGTGTCGTCTATGTGGAGACTTCCTTCCCCCTCATCCTCACCCCAATCAACAATAGTACACTGTACATCACACTAGACCTGTCATTACTTCATTGCCCGCTCCCTCCGCTCCCCTCGTTTCGCTTCGCTCTCGCTACCTCTGCCCATGTCTGGTATCAAATCCACTCTTTTTCTCTGTCTCCACTTTACCGTGGAGATTCACCATGGCGTGCGCGCAGGGAGGTTAGGTAAGGGGGCGGGCGGAGGGCGCCTACGGTTACACTTCGGGCGTTGTTAACTCAAGACTGCTAATCTTGCGAATCTTGCTTGACCTGTGGTGGGGATTGGAGGGGGGAGGGGAAGCAAAAGTGGATTTGCTGGACAACACATAGAGAGTCATGGGGGGACTTGGCGGAAGCTAAGGTGGTGTGAGGTATGCCTTCCGCAAGTATAGTGTGTACAGGTACTTGCCGGACGGATACCGAAAGCGGAAAGGAAAAAAATGTGAAGCTTTGGAGAAGTAAGTAGTAAAGCAGTGGACCGAGAAAGATCGGACGGGACATGACTTGCAGTAAATTTGTTAGCCCACGCATCTTTTGCCATGTCTCTTTCTTTCTCTCTTTTTTCCTTTTTGATTTGCTACTGCAAGGAAAAAATTATTCGTGCTTAGCATTTACATGAAATGTGCCGAAATGTGCATTTTTTTCTCTCTTCGCTATCCGAACACGAGACCAGGTCATCTGTAAACCCATTTGTTCGTTTTGGGTATCTAGACTAACTATCGAGGAGGGGTGGTTGGAGTGGTCATTTCGACATATGTACAAACAACATCGATAGCTAGCCCTTTCTTTCCTTTGACCATGTGAAGCTTTTTTTCCCTCTCTCTTTCCCTTTCTATCTCTCTCGCATCGTCCATCCCTCCCTGTCTCCCTTCACAACCGCGAATCACGTCCCCGACGAAAACACCGTGGCAAGCGTACTATTTCTGCTGGGCACAGCAACCGGCAAACTCAACGTGACGTTTGGAGCGCCAGTCAGAGTGGGGAACGAGGGCACAGCGGGAAGAGTAGGTGTCACATGCGGGTTTGGGTTTGGTTTTAGCTCGCAGGGATTTGGTCCCGGTAGCGGTGTAGGCAGATAGAGTTGCTTGCACTGCAACAAAGGAAAAAAAAGCCACACCCATTAGTTTTGTTTTTTCTATACCCTGAAAGAAGAAGGCGAAGCGGGATTGTAATGGAAGAGACTGGAAGATAAGGTGGAGGGAGAAAGGATATATGGGAAAGAAACTTACAGCACGAGTTGGCTTGGGACATCCACCTGCTGCTTGCATGTAGCAGGCGTGAGAGAAGTTTTCTTCAAAGTAACATTTCTATCAAAGCACATTCATGTTAGGGTTATTTTCTCCATGCAACCTTTTGTTTGTCTCTACAACAACTTTTTTTGTTTTTTTTCTTTCTTTGAAGTTCTTCGCTTTGCTTACCTGTAGTGCATCAGTAGCCCAGCATGGGTACCGAGCCGTGGCCAGCTGACACTGGCACTGCTTGGTGAAAATAGGCGTGGGTTCTCGGTGCGGTTTCTTCGAGCGACTCAGCGATTTGCCGGAGTTGTCGTCGTCGTCATCTTCACCGTCGTCGTCCGGGACGGGCTCGATCGAGGGTATGGCTGTGACTGGGATGTTGAGAGACGTCGAGTCCGGTATGGCAACAGTCGATGTTGGTAAGATCTCCGAGATCGAAGTGAGTGGGGCTGTTGAGTCGTCGCTAGCTTGAGGGTGTGGTATAGCTGCTGCTAGCACTTGCAGAATGCTGATCAAGACGAGGCGGTGCATGTTGGCGCTTTTTGCTGAACGGTGTATTGTAGTCGACACTCAAAGGTCAGCAGTGTGATGCTACCTGTTTGTACTCCGGCATTCTGTTCTGCTCCATTCCAGCGTTACCGCGCCTCGGCGATTCATCTTCAGATCCATAAGATCCATATTGCAATGGCTTGCGCTTGATATTACAATTTCCCATGAACGGCCTTGTAATACTGTATACTTGTACAAATACAACTTTCCCCCATCAAAATGAAACATATATAGCCATAGTGTACCGCAAGGTTTATTGTATTCTGTGAAATAGGCAGCGTTGACATTTGCCAAAGTGAAGTCGGTACTCTACAATCCTTGGAAGTACCGGGGTCGGCGCGTCTGATTGGCGGCTGTCATGTCGCCTAATATGGAAATGCTATATCTTTGCGTTTAACAGGAGGAAATAGATTGCCGAACACGACGACGGCCGAGCACGCCAGTGTCAAACAGGAATGTCGCCATTCCGAGCCAGTGCTGCGCCAAAGCATGGTGGCTCAGCTCGGAAATGTGGCACAGGTCCTATCCCTACGACACATGTCAGTCTTCAGTAGCACGATGCCGTGATACCAACTGAAAGGGCTCGTCTTGCGTCATGTCCCGCTCGATGGGCTCTTGCTCTCTCTCGATTACTAGAAGACAGTGCGCGGTTCGACGTGAGGTAGGTCTAAGCTCGTCGTTGAGTGGTTGAATGGATTCCTCAACAATTGCGGGCAGCCCAGCCTATAATGTGGCGTACACACACAGTTAGGCTTGCCTTTAAGCAGGCTATTGGCTTGCCATGGCCCGTGTCGCATGTCTTGGTAGAGGGGTGCTTGCATACGTTGCAACCCCCCATCCCCTCCTCCTCAACATGTGAAAGTTTACGTTGCCCGATAATCTGCACAGCGCTGATCAGGGTCCGAACGGTCTCGGCCGCTGCTGTTTTGGAAAGGAGGGGTCCAGGTCTACCGCTTGGTTGACGCCTCTCCCAGACATACATCTAGTGTTGGCTGGCCAGAGATGCTAGAGTGTTATGATATGCATTCCACTATCAGCAAGATGGCGGAGGCGAAAGTGTGGAGACGGTGCCCACCGTTCAAAGTGGTGAACACGTCCGGTGTGATGTGCGACGTCGGTCGCAAACTCTGGAGAATTACGCTTGCTAATAGAATTTGTTATCAGTGTCTAGTCAGATTGCCGAGCTGCGGAGGTACTTGGAGGTACTTCGATATGCTGATTGCTGGCATCCCCTCTTCTCGCCCCCCTTCGGCGTAATGCACAGCCAGTGCAACGCTGATATGATCGTGGTTAGCCTCACGATACACATTCCGCATAGCCACTTTTTGTTGAGATCGAGAAAGATAGAACTTTCGATGTTGCGAATCAGATATTGTACGTAAGAAGTTTTGCCTCGGGTTGGTGAGGGTTGAGCTTTGCGAATTGGTGACGGTATCGCGATTAGACATCCAAGTCATGTGATTTGACGACGGGCGCTTGGACCCTATGACGAAGTTCGCGATGCATCAAGTTTACAGACAATTGCTAAGCAACAATCCATTGCTGTGTCAACCGCCATACAATCATCTCGTAATTCTATCAGTCAAGTAAGACGACAGGTGTACATTGTGATCTTCAGCATCTCATACCGATTCCACGGACACTCATACCGCGACAATGGCACCTTGGAGAGCGCTCCTTCTCCGCCGTATAGCCTTTGGAAATGCGACACCGCGTCTGCCATTGACCTCACGTCTTATGACAACATTCGCCACCCCATTAAACGGAACACTGCACTCCTCCGCCTTGTGGTTAAGCCCAGTACGACAGCCACAAATTTGCATATGCAAAAGGGCGTATTCGCAGTCAGCTAGTACCACACTCCAAGCCCCGGATTACCTAAATGAGGCCGAATTACACGTTTTTAACAAATTGAAATCGGAGTTAGAGCCCGCCAAATTAGAGGTATGTAATGCTTTCCCCACATTTCTGTCTCCAGATATCACACAATGTGGAGAAGCCAGCGTCTGAAGCTGATAACATCGGTCGCGCCACCGATCACTGCATTGAAAATATGCGCGTCATATCAGCATTGCAGAGGCTTTCGGGAGGCGTAGTCGGCCAGACCTTTGGAGATTACATGCTTGCATACGGACGCTGTCGGCATGCCGAACCGAATCAGGTTGTTTCAATTTGGTCAGCATGAACGATTACTAACACGCTCGCATAGGTTCAAGACATCAGCGGCGGCTGCGGATCAATGTATGCGATTGAAATTGAGTCGCCCAAATTCAGGGGCTTGACCGTTATCAAGCAGCATAAGATGGTGAATGAGGTGCTGAAGGATGAGATTCAGAGCTGGCATGGTGTGCAATTACGAACAAAGGCTGCTTGAACACGACCATTTGAGGATAGTTTGTAAATATTGTACGACTAATGTATACAGAGCAGGCATCTGATAAGTTTTCAGAATAAGAACGGCGCTGAATCACGAAGTACTCGTTATGAGTGGGTGAATATCAATTAACTCCTATGCTCTTTGCAGCACGCTGTAAAATGATAAACAGTATAAGCAAAATCAGTATTTTCCTAGAGTTTGTGTGCCACTCCTGAAATTGGATTTAGAGGGTCAATTCATGATCTCGACATCAAGAAGAATTGCTGACACTTGTAGATCCGTCTTCAATCTAATGCCGTCTTCACAAGTCTCACTAACCCTTGTTTGAATACTTCATATCTGATTCATGTAGTATATTCGGCCATTTTTATTCTCATACGAAGCACTACCGTGACCGATTCCAATATGTGGCTGAAGCTGCAATCGACATTACCTAGTCACTCCTCGAAATGCATTTCCGACGTAGCAAGACTATTCTGAATAGCAACGCATGACGAGTAACTCCATGTCCTCGGTGATAAGATGAAGAAACTTTTCTAGACGATGACGGACCAGCAAAGGAGGGAAGGGAATTTCGTCCTTACCAGTTTTATGCCACAACCTGTACGCTTGCAAATGGAAGAGAAGAGGTATTCCAATCTCTAGTAGTGCCATTCGACATCAGCAACCTCTACAAAAATCCACCCAGGCTCGACAAAGTCTGATATCCGTATCGGATCCGGCGCGTCGATAGTGACAGGAATCGAAGCAAAGTGTATATTATGCTCGGCAAAGCATTGGTACAGCGTTGCAAAATCTGGAGGGAAATGCCCCAGTTTGGGCGGCCAGTCGACAACCGCTACTCTCTTGAGTAGAGGTAAATACGCAGGTGCAATGTCCGCGAGATAGCGCAGTATCTCCGTCGGGCCCTCCCATCCCTTTGAGCCCCAGTGCTCCTGCCAGTCGATTTCGAAAGTCAGCTCCTCGAGCGTGGGCGGGAGATATCGTACCATTTCAGAAACGAACTCGGGCGTACATTGGTCTGGATCATCGTCGTGTGCTATCAAGCCCATATCTAAGGAGCGCAAGTTTGTCATTCTGGAAGCCAGTCTTGCTAACTGCAGCATGTGCCTCTGGTAGAGCATGTGGTGGTCGCCGCGGATAGACAGACGCTCAAGCGATGCGCGGCTGGGTGTCAGCACAGAGAAAAGGCTCTCAAACTTTGATATGAGATTTGGCGAGCGCCGGCTCCGCAGATCGTTGTGGATATCGTGTTCGTAGGCAAAGCTCTTGAGTTGTTTACATGCCTCGGTGAAGTGAGCTAGTGTTATAGTCTCCACGCAAGCACGCTTAAGGACAATGTTTTCGACGTTTGAAACGCCCTTTTCGAGTACCGTGTAAAGCGGTATTTCATCATTCCACTCAACATAGTCGTGGTTTTGGCGCTCCAGCTGAACGATATCGACAACGGTGACGTTGCGCAGCGAGGGAATACGGAATAAGTGTGCGATTTGCTCAAGACAGAGCGGACCATGTATGTGGACGTTTGTCAGATTCTGGAGCGCTCCTACTTCGGATACAGGCTTGCTAAACCAGTAGATATTGTCTCTCCAACCATACGTTTCTTTGATGGTGAGCGTTTCGATGGCTGGTGTGACCGTTATGAAGAAGGCCATAAACTCGTGATCGCGCCATGTTGCAGTTAACCGCTCGTAATCTATTGATGATTTTTCTCCGACTGGCTCGAATGATCTCATCAGCCTTGAAAGCATTTTTCGATTTTCAGTGCTGTTGTCTTGTCCGGTACTTAGATTCCATGTCACTTGCTGGACACGAGCCGCGAGCTTCGGATCATGAAGAAGGGTTCGGGTGAGTGGCCAGGGGCAGGATACCAAGACATGACTGTACAGGTGGTCGAGTGACAGCAGGTACATGCGCCGGTTGGTCAGGCTAAGATTGCGAATGTCTTTGGGGGTTTCGATTGGCATGCAATCAATGATGCTCATCACGAGCTCGTTAGGAAGAGCGCCAAAGCCGGGGTTTGCCGCCAGTTCGGTTGCCATCCTGTGATCTGCAGTCGCACTCTCTTGGCTACTAGAGTGCGCCAACAAACTTAATCACCACCCTAAGGTTCAAAAGAAAAGATAACAAAGAAGCAGTTTTTGGATACAGCTTGGTTTGGACGGCAAACAGCTGTAGCTACGAGCAGGCTGCCCCGCAGTTTGGTTGCGCTAAAGACTTGGCGTGTAGTTGACCAGTTAAGCGTGTGGCGGTTCAGCTTCACCTGGAGGAATAGTACAAACGGATCAAATACCAAAAAATAATCAAATGCCTAGGCATGTGTCCCCATATTACTAGCCAGCAAATTCAACTATGGTTTTCTATGGCGGGCGCACTATCTTAGCATGCATATCAACAGCATCTGTCTCGTTTGCTTACAACCATCCCGATCCTACATCTTCGGAGACCACCAAATGATCCTCATCCTAAATATCCATGAATGAAATGTCTAATTCCATGCCCGCTTCCCTATACAGTCCTTGCAAGATAGAAAACGTTGCTTGAGCGGAGTCCTCGTCTCTCCACGCTGGCCATTCGACAAGGGTAACACGCTTCAGATTACACGGTGAACAAGCGACAGCCGCAGCGAAATCAGCTAGGATTTGGGAATAGGGAGAAATTAAAGCCAATCTATCATACCCAAAAGGTTCCAACTTGATATTCAAGACTTCTAGCGTGTCCGGTAATAGCTCGGCGATACCACTGTGACTAGGATCCGAATCGTTTTCGTACATCATTAAAGATATTCCGTTGATGCTACTCTTGTCGCAAGGCCCGATATCCAAGGTATGTAGGTGTTGTAGTGGGTGTTTCTCTAGCATCGGAGCTTTGACGTTCAAGAGCGACGACACCACGCTTTCGTCAAGTGGTACTTCACCACGGATTCGGAGGTGTTTGAGGGGGATCCCCGAAAGGCGTCGCAATTCATCAATAAGTAGGAATTCACGGTAGGTTTCTGGATGGGATCCGAGATCGCTTGGAGCGTGTTCGTAACTCAGACTCTTGAGGTTATTGAGTTTCTCAAGGATGATGATTGCCTCTAGGAAGAAGACATCGGATTCCGTCATGACTAGTTGCTCAAGCGAAGATCCACTCCTAAGCATTTCTTCTATTCTTCTTTCCCAGCCGTCTTGCCATGAGAAGATCCTATCTGGCTCTTGGCGCATTGCGATGACTTCAGTAAGTTCTAACTTACGAATCGAGGGCAAAGTCAGCAGGGGCACGGCATTCTCCAGCCGCAATGGTCCCTGAAGTGTAACCGAGTGAAGGTTTTCGAATTCGGACGGATTTTGCACCATAGTCTCGAACCAGTACGAGTGGTCGTCCCATTGCCATGTATCCCACACATGAAGTCTTTGAACCTTGGGTGTGAAAAACAAGAAAAATTCGAGATACCACCAATGTTTTTCACACGTATCGTGGAAATTGACGAACCTCTCAGGTAGATTCCCAGAAGAACGAGTTGTGTGCACGAGCCGCCCGGAACTTTGTAATTTGTCCGCAAGTAGGATTCTATCATCCTGCTTTAAGCATCGCTGAACATCTGTCCCTGTCCAATAGTTCTGGTACCACACTACTTCTTTGATATGATTTGCGAGCTCAGGTCGTACATTTGGGCATGGTAACGCTATAGTACGCAGAAGCTGTTCTGGAGCCAGACCATGAAACCTGTAGTATAGATAATCGGTCGTAAGACGTCGTAGCCGCTTACTTGTTGTGTTAAGGGCATGGAAGCTCAAAATATTGTCGCCGGCTTTGATCTGCTCAAATATCAGCAGTAACAGCTCATCCGGAAGCGTGCTGAATAGGTCGAAAGATGGGTTCATTATTCCTATAAGACTCGGCAGTGAATATGTACTGGTTATGACGGTAGGCTGTGTGTTTTTGTGCTTGTTGATTGCGGTGCGATTTCCCTCGATCCAAAAACCCAGCGGTTTAGCGATATTGGTTAAGCGTAATTATGGTCACGTGAGATCAGAATTTCTCTGTGTTTAATGTTCTTAATACCTTGTAAGCCTCGACTTCGAAAAACAGTACAAAAAAACAAGGTAGCAGTAATATTTTCGCGGAGACTCACCGATCCGCCAATCCGCCGGTCAAATGCTTGTGTAAACCCAGGTTAGCAAATGGGTAGTAAAGATATGGTAGATGTACGTAGGCTTACCATATCTCTACCTCTACGTATGTATGATGAATGCGCCATTGGCCCTACCCGCAGTTGATACAACCATGCCTATATCTCTACCCATGGTTCATGTGACCAACGTATTACCCCTACCATAATTCGACGTTTATCATTGCCAATGTGTTTAGTTGGAGTCTTTCTTCTCCGCAGAATCAAGGTAATAAGGTCGTGCTTCTAGGCCGTAGATGGTGTACAAGACGGAGTACAACTTTAGTCATTTATTGCTTGATTTCTCCATTGCTAAACCTACCAGCGGCAGCAAATGCCTTCTAATCTAGCTATTTTAGCTACTATGGATGGAGTAAAGAAGATTTTGGCGTTTACTACGTGGATATGGGCTAGCTAAAGAGGCAAATCAATGATATCTTAGCATAACTCAAACAGGTAAATGCAGAGGTACTTGGAGAAGAAATAATTAAAATTGCTACTACCCAAAGTGTATCTACCGTTAGGGTATTGGTCTAATTAGGCTTGTCATGCCTGATGATGGTTTCCGTTTTGGGTTTTGGAGACCGGACTTGGTGCAATACTGCGCACGCAACCGATGCAAAAACATAAGAATGGCAAGAATTTTAGTTTTGGGGGTTGTTCTGAATCAATGTACAAGAACGTGTATTACAGAAAGCATTTGGTCAACCAGAATTGGGAGGCAGTATGCACTGCTGCTGAGATGCTATAGCGGGTGGCTCGCACGACCGCAACACATGGCGGTATTTGTATGGGTGACAGTACCACGGTAAGAGTGTGAAAGTGTCAAAGAAGTATATAAATTACTGTGATATCCCAAATCGCTATGCTCTTCAAGAACTCCGTTCGTATCTCAGACAAAGACTCACCAAACCTGCGCATCGACATGGCGGCGGCGTTGCCGATAGTAGTCTTCAATTTTCACAGCGGGATCTATGTCCCCGCTGTGGATCCTGCCATGATAGTGACGACGGTCCGCCAGAGAGCGGTTAGCCGCTTGAAAAGACTCTTCCCGCAACTATTCGTTCTATCAAATTCGGGTCCCTGCAACCTTCCCCTGGAGATTATCCTTATGATCGCAGAATATCTCAACAAACGCGCCCTAGTATCTCTTGCGTTGACCTGCCGGGCTCTTCATGATCTCTGGAAACCACGCAGTATGCCTCTGCAATCGGATGAGAAGCAAAAGTTATTGCTGTTGCTTGAGAAAGACATTCCATTCCGCTATTACTGTTATCGCTGTGTAAAGCTGCATCGCTGGCATGGGCGCTGGAGCAGATCCAACTCCCCCGTTCTACATGGAGCGTCTGAGATGCAAGAAAGACACAGATCCGCGCTTCTGTGTCCTATCATCTTGCTATATACCTTACCATTATGTGCGCTTAGTCATGAACCGACATGTCTTCGGACCTGAACATGGCTTGCCTCTTCAGACGCTCAGTAAACGAAATAATTACACAGATCACAAGTATGGAGTCGAACGCTCAATATCGCAGCATGCACGCATCTTTAGCGATGAACTTCTAGTACTGACAGCCGTATCCATGACGCAGCTCAGAGGTGATTTGGTATTACTTAGAAGCTACGTCGAATTTTGTGGGGGTTCAATCTGCCAACACCTCACCATTTCGCAAGGATCTCCTGACTGCATTCCCATACAGTTTGATGAGCTTCCTAAGAAGGGAAACGCATCAGGTCCATTCCCGGTCTACAGGCCTATGTACGGGTCCTGTAATTGGTTTTTAACATATTACAGCATCAATATAACTTGGCAAGGTGTGGGAAACGGATATAGCATCGGTGTACTAGTATATCGCAGGCTGGGCAACTGTCGCACGCCAGAGAGCTGGTAGTGGCGTACGATGGCGACGCGGGATCTGATTGAAAAAAGTAGATCAGCTTATTCGCCACAAAACCCACCTGGGAGTATTAGAGGCAAATGGAATGAGGCTGGTGGTGTAGAAGAGATCACTGGTGGCAAATGGCGGAGAGCCTTACGAGCAGCTGGGTTGGGTTAGTACAACGCGCGCTTGTTAGTGCAATGGCATCTGCCTACTTCCAGCTCGTGGCAAGCTACTTACAAATAAAACAATGATTCCTGTTCGTATCTGAAATTCTTTTGTATGCTATAGATTATTGAAGACGACTTTGCAATTTGAAACTCCGCATCGTTCTGTCTTGCAGTTTCCCGTGCACAACCCCGAATCTGTGTGCGTGCCAACTTGGGCACGCTTTCCTGCTGCCGAAATGATCATACGATAGCAGAAAGTGCAAGTGCGATCTCGGGAAGTGAAGTCGCAATCCCAAGCGTTTTGCCTTCAAAAACATCACCTTCCCTTCCCTCGCTGTTTTCTTCTTTTCTCTTGAGGCCCGCCACCTTGCAACTTTTTTTCTCTTAACTCCGTGCACAATCTTTGTTTCTACTTTGACCATCATGAATGAGTCCTTCGCTTTTCGGTTTCTGTCAGTCTGGACGCTGATCGAAGCCATTTTCACTATTTTCACTTTTTTCCTCTCTCCTTGTCTTGCGCTTGGCGATCGCGATGGTCTTTATAAAATCTACAAGGCATTGGATTCGGTCTAGGTGGCCATCGAATCCATACTAGATGTGTTCCGGGAAGTACGGGACTATGTCGTAGCACTGAGGACGGCAGCAACCGCGCGTGGGCAGTTGCTTGCCCAGGTGCTAGACACGCTTCGTGAATTGAGGATCGACTTGCAGGCGCTGGCCAGTATAGCTCGGGAGATTCATGAAGATGTGGTCAGATTGAAGACAGAACAACAGAAGCCAGCAAATCCTATTGTTCTCGAGATCTTGACTGACCCCTGGAATTCGAACTCAGGTCACCCGAAGATCCAGAGAAGGTTTCGGCCTTTCTCCTTTCAAGGTTACTTGAGAGCTCAAGCCGAAGCACTGGCAGGAGAAGGGATGAAGGCCGGGCCCGATCCACTCCACGATGTGGATTGATGACACTACGTCCAGGTAGTGGTGACTGTTTTGGTTTTGGACATTGCAGAGGTGAGTACGGGTACGCTAACGTGCGGGATCAGCGAGCTGGCCAGATCAGCAAGCTGGCCACCCCACCCCACCTAACCCGACTCTCTTCACTATTAATCCACAACCACGTAATAAAATAAGATAAAACTAAAAGAATATAATTTATTATCTAGCTCTACATTGAGTTCTTCTGTGACCTTGAACGTGGCACTTCGTGCACGTTGGCGGCGCGCGCTGACGTCGCTGACTGCTATCACTCTGCTCAGCCTCTACAACTACTCTTTCTGCCTCTGCAATAAGCTGCTGAGCTTGCTGTACCTGGAGTACCCCACCAGAAGCAATATACTGACGCTGCTGATTCTGCTTTTGTTGTTGGCGCTGATTTTCTGCACGTAGCTTCTTATTCTCCTCNGCAAGTATTGTTGCTGATTGCATCGCAAGCTGAGCACTTTTCGCAAGCTGGCGTATCGCAACGCTCGTTGGACTCTCTGGCTGGTGGCGCAGTCGCTCTTGGAGATACCGTATCTGCTGCTGAAGCTGCTCTACTGTATGTGGTGTTTCTGTCTCTTCTGCTGTCTGCGCTGCTGTCTGTGGTGGAGATGGTGTTCTGGCTACTGTGAGCGACGATAGAACGCGATCTGGATAAGGAGGGACAAGTCCTGTCGCCCGAAAGCCTGCCTGGATGTTCTGCTGCGTGAATACTGCTGGTCGGATCCGTGTATAGGCTGCAAGGAAGTCTATCTTGTCGACGTGGTAGACCCCATGGCGGGCGAGCTCCTCAACCTCNCGTCCGTACGCGCGCTTAAGAGGAGAGTAGCAGCTTACATCTAGTGGCTGGAGGAGGTGAGAGGTATGAGGCGGCATGCAGAGAGTAATAATCTTGTTCTCTGTACAGAACTGGTCAAACTCTGGCGTAGCGTGGCTACTATGGCCGTCGAGAATAAGAAGCCGATAGACTCCAGCTGTACGAGCCGCTGTATGCTGGTTAAAGTGCTTTACCCACTCTACACCAAGCTGATCAGTCGTCCAGCCATTTTCTGAGACGCCAATAGTCCAGTCTGGTGGGAGGTTGTGATACCAGCTGCTCTGGTGGACCTTACCAGATAGTATCACGAATGGTGGCAGAGACCAGCCAGACGCGTTAACGCACTCGATCGCTGTAACCCACTCACGATTGCCTGGCTGTACGACGACTGCCCGACCAACTCTATTAGAGCTAGTCACGACTTTTGATGTGCTGGCGACGCCCATCGCGAACCCAGTCTCGTCGAAGTTATAGATATCCTGGTCTAGCACGCCGTACATCTGGCGCGTCTCCTCTACTAGCTTAAACCACGCTGCGATTGTATCAGGATCTTCGTACTGGGCGCGCTGGCTATTAAGCCTTCTACTCCACTTCGTCTGAAGCTCTGGCTGGCTCTGGATAAAGCGCGACACCCACTTCTTGCCAATAGGTTGTGGAGGTGGATCTTGGCCACGCGCGGCGAGTAACGCGTCTGCCATCCGTCGTACGTCAATAATATGGGGTGGAAAGCCTCGCCGGTCTAAATCTAGAATCCACTGCACGAGAGACTGCTCTTCAATAGGCAATAGCTTACAATTAGCAGGTCGTATCTCTGATCGTGGCTGGGTACCACCAACGCGCGTCTGAAGTGTAGATCTTGGTACATCAAAAGCCATTGCAAGGGCGCGGAGAGACTGTTTTGGATTATTACGATAGAAAGCGATAGCAAGACTTATTCTGCCTTCACGAGAAGTCTGCATAGAGCGTTGTTGTCGCGGCATAATGGTGGTAGTGTAGAGAGTCGGGTGAGGTGGGGTGGGGTGGCCAGCTTGCTGATCTGGCCAGCTCGCTGA